TAAAAATTCTTGGGAAACAGGGCTTTGCTTTATGCTTACATTTAGCCCTATTTTGTCAATGCCAAAGCATTTTATAGAGAAATACATGTTATAATTTCCACTTTAATAAGATCAGAGTCATAGAACAGTTTAGGTTGAAAGGGTGCTTTAAGGGCCATCCAGCCCAACCTCCCTGCAGTGTGCAGGGACAACTTCACCTGGATCAGGCTGCTCAGAGTCCCATCCAACCTGTCTGAACATTTTCAGGTATGGGAACTTCGTCATTTTTTTATTTTCTTTTGCCTGCAGAGGTGAGGGCAGCCCTGAAGTGCTGCTGTGGGGGAGCAGAGTCACAAAAACCAGACCCCTCCTGCACTGCCTGGGAATAACTTTATTCCTATAATCAGGATTAAGTGAGGCTGCTCTCACAAATTCCTGCACAGACCAACACAACATTTTACTTCTTACCAGTTCTACTGCCAAAATATCCTAATCATAGAATCAGATCTTTACTCTTCAGCTACTGGTGAAGAGAGATGCACTGATTTACTGGGTAAGATATGAACACACTCCCTCAAGAGATTTATTTAAAACTTTGACCTACCTTTTCTGTGGCTCTCTCTGAACAAGAGACCTGAGAACACCTCTCCTGCATAAGAACTTCTATTTTAGCAAAGTACAGCTCAGTTTGAAGGAGCCCAGCAATGGACTTGACTTTTCTTCCCTCACTGTGGGGCTCATATTGAGTTCAGGAACTTGAAAAAAAATAATCAAAAATGTTTTTAATGCCTGATTTTAAATACTATTTCTTGAATAAACTAAAGTTAGAAATTCCAAAGAATTAACATTCTTTGAATGTTAACAACTGAACACAATTGTTAATCCAAGATCAGTATGAAGATCTAACATTATGTACTCCAAAAAGTCAAAGATACTTCTATAGTGTAGGCAAATGATATATTTTAATAAAATAATTTACATTGCCCTGAGTTAAAGCCTAGAAATGTAAAGATACGCCTTTTAATGGCCCTACAGACAAGTAAATTGAACACACTGCCTGCTTTTTTTTGGCACAGAGTACACACAGTGGCCCATCAGCCCCCAAAGCAGCCCAGGAGCAGCCAGGATATTCCATTTGCTCAGTTATAAGGCAAAAGAGGAAGGCAGGCAAGTGTGCTGCACAAAATTGTCAGACAGGGAAAAGTGTGGTAAGGCATAAATCCCTAAGGAACTCTGTGTTCTAATGCACAAGAAATAACTTGTTACTTCCACAGTCACAGTTATCATTCTATTCATTGTACTTATTGGAATGATGGAATAAAAGTACCTTCAAAATGGATGCACTCCTGAAGTAATTAAAGCATTTTCATGACCCACAGGTTTGTTACAGAGAAAAGTCTTTTACATTTATCTCTTTCCAGTGATGCCAGCTGGCATGGAGAGGTGAAATCAAAAATTCATCGTGGGAACATACTTTGAAGAACTTGGTTCTAATCTTCCAGCCTCGGGGTCTGTTTGTTTGTTTGTTTATTCACTCTCTAGGGAACAGGCGAAGCAGAAGAAACTTCACATTTTACTGTGTTTTCATGGCCTTAATTTTCACCACTTCAGTCTCAGCAGGTCACTGCAGCTTCACTACGAATTTCTCAGTTTTCTGTACTGCATGAAAATATGGTCGCAAAGAGGATTTCCCGTCCCAAACAAATCAGCTGTACAAGGGAGGGAGAATTGTCCTTTGGATTCCATCAGCTAGAACTTCTGAAGTGCAACCAACCACACAACTGCTGGCCCCTCTGAGCCAGGTTGGACAGTCTCTCTATCAGCTGTGGGACTCCAGCACCCCTTCCTCTCTCAGTACAATGTTAAATCATATTTTATTATCTTGAGCATGCGTGTGTATATTCTACACTTAGAAGAACTGATCCAGCTATTCTTCTGAGGCTGTACACACAGAACCGGCCACATCCTCACATATTAAAAAAAGTCTAAATTTATAGTCATAGCAACGTATTAAAAAAGTAAAAAACCTTACTGCTACCTCAGATCAAAAAATTTCTCTTACTGAAGGAACTTTAAACCCCACTGGCATACCTGTTTGAGCCAATACTTTAAAAACTCCTTGTACTGAACAGATTAGATTGATATTTTACAGTAATGCCTTCTGCCAGGGAAGGAAGCATCCAATGGGAGCCAGCTACTATATGGATTCTAACACAGCTTGCCAAATTTTACTAGTGTTTTCAATGTCCACACGAGAAATTGCCCATTAAATTTATAGACCAATTTTATGCTAACTGTACCCATTACAGTCTGTGAGGAAACTAGGTAATTGGGTTGTTGTACTTCTATCTTTAGAAATAAATTAGAATTCCTGCTTAGTTAGAATAATTTAAAATGTCTGACTGTGCCTGTTCAAAGCATCCATTAACAAATGCTGGCTTCTCCTCGACTTCCCACTGCATTAAACAGGCCATTTCTGTACACAAGACAAAGCAGCTAATCAACTGGAAGTTGAAAATAAATATGCAGGGAGCAGGCACACAAACCACAGTGTTAAAATACATTTGCCTTATGCCAAGATTCATTTGTAAATTCATCAAGTGTTACACTTACGAAGTCATGTTGATATGTTTTCAAGATGGTTAACTGCTCGAAAACAAATAATATTTA